TGTATTTACTTTAACATCTCTGAAGCACCGTTTTCTCTCTTTATTGTTTAAAATAGATGGAGAAAGAGAGAGACAGAATAGGGAATGGTGGAGTAAGGACTCCATTGTCCATGAAAGCAATGAAAACACTGGCAACAATTGTCAAAATCAGTTTTTTAAGAATTTGAAATTAACCAAAGACTTGCAACATTTGGGAGCATTTATTAAAAAAACTCTTGAATATCAGTAAGAACAGTGAGCTTTGTGATATTTAAACTTACTCTATTCCCATCCTGATCTTTAAAGTCATATGGAAATGCAAGAGACCCAGAATAGTCAAACAGTCTTGGAAAAGGGGATGAAGTTGGAGGTCTCACACTTGCCAACTTAAAATTTTACTACAAAGCTATAGTAAGCAAGACTGTGTGGTCCTGGCTTAAGGATAGATACAGATCAGTGGAATAGAATTGAGGGTTCAGAAATAAACTCTAGTATCTATGCTGCATTGATTTTCAACAAGGATGCCTAGATGATTTAATGGGCAAAAATTAACTCAAAATAGATCAAAGACCTAAATGTAAGAGTTAAAACTATAAAACTCTTAAAAGAAAACATAGCTGTCAACTTTCATGACCTTACGTTAGACAATGATTTCTTAGCTATGACACCAAAAGCACACACAACCAAAGAAAAAATAGAAAATTGGACTTCATCACAATTAAAAACTTTTGTACTTCAAAGGATACCGTCAAGAAAGTGAAAAGACCACCCAGAGACTGGGAAAAAATATTTTCAAATCATGTATCAGATAAGATTTAGTATCTAGAATATATAGAATCTCATAATTTAACAATAAAAAGATAAATAACCCAATCTTTTAAATGGGCCAAGGACTTTAATAGACATTTCTCCAAGGAAGATGTACAAATGGCCAATAAGCACATGAAAAAATGCTCTACATCATTACGCTTTAGAGAAATGCAAATCAAAATCACAGTTAGATACCACTTCACATCTACTAGATTGACTGTAAGAAAAAAAGAGGGACAGTAGCAAGTATTGGTGAAGAGGTGGCGAAATTGGAACTCTCGTACATTGCTAGTGAACATGAAAGTGGCATTGCCACTTTAGAAAACAGTTCGGCAGTTCCTCAAAAAGTTAAACATAGAGTTACCATGTGACCTAACAATTCCATTTCCAAACATATACCTAAGAGAATTGGAACTTATGTCTACATAAAAACTTGTATGTAAATGTTCATAGCAGCATTATCCGTAATAGCCAAAAAATGGGAACAACTCAAATGTCCATCAACTGATGAGTGGATAAATGAAATGTGGTATATCTATAAAATGGAAAATTACTCAGTCTTGAATGAAATTCTGATATGTGCTACAACATGATGAACCTAGAAATATCATGCTAAGTGAAAGAAGTCAGTCACAAAAGGCCACATATTATATGATTCCATTCATACGAAATTTCCAGAATAGATAAATCCATATAGATAGAAGGTACATTCATGGTTTCCAGAGGCTTGGAGGAGGTAAAAATGAGGAATGACTGCTAGTGGGTATGAGATTTCCTCTTGGAGTGATGAAACGATTCTGGAAATAGGTAGTGGTGATGATTGCACAACTTTGTGAATATACTAAAAACCATTGACTTGTATTTAAAGGGTGAATTTTATAGCATATAAATTATGTCCAAGATTAACTTCCAGATGTCAATCTCATTAGGCTGGGATAAATGAAATAACTCACAAAGACAACCTCATTAACTCACTCACTCAGTGGTAAAATGATTCTTTTTAACAAAGAAGAAACAACTCACCAAAAACATTATGAAGTTGTTCTAAAATAGCAATTTTCTTAGTGACAGTCCAGGGTAAGGCACTCTTTCTGATATCAATATCTTCCTCATTCTGTCTTCATTTTCTAAAACTTATTAAAAATATACCATGTTCCTTCTAGTTCAATTTAGTTCTAACATGACCACAAAATATACTCTGATACTGAAGCCACAAGCAAGGATAATAAATATTTTCAACTCAAGTGCCAGCTCTGATTGATTGGGAGTGGCCACATGAACCACTTTGTTTAGAAGGATTCTGAGGCTATGTCAAGACTAGGCAGGAAAAATATGTAGTGATTAATTAAGAAAATCTATCTTGAACTTGGCAGTGATAGTAGGAGTGGGTAGCACTTGGCTAGTTATTTGATCTAGGAAAATGCATTATTCTGCTGAATGGATGCAAAATCAGTTGAGTAGATAAATCTTTGGATGGATTATAATGCAGCTAATAGGCACATTCACAGAACATGACCTAAAAATGAACTTGAGGTCTGTAATTTACATGTAAAATCTCAATATTTTGAAATAGCCAAGATTTAGGACTGAGATGTCAAAATCACTCAATAAATAGCATCAACTTTCATACTGAATAATATCAAGGTATTTTAAATAATACATTTTATGGTATGTGTTCTCAAATGTTCTTAATATGAGAGCATTAGCATATACTTTTAATAAAATCTGATATAGTGAGAGATTATGTCAAGAGAGATTTTTTTTGGCATTCACTGAAAAATCAAGATAATCACCAGAAGGTGGACTCTGCGAGCCTGCTGTAAGACGCATTTACTGAAGTTTGAGTTTCTGCCTCCAAGTGGAACTGCCTCCTCCCTGCTTCACACCCTACAGCAGCCGGCTCTTTCTTTGATAGACAAGAGGTATCTGGGGAGTGAGTCCTTTCTCTGTCAGCTGTTGTGTATCACTGGTTCTCAAAGTGTGGTCCAGACCAGCAGCATCAGCATCACCTGGCACTTTCAGAAATGCAGCCTCACTCTAGATCTACTGGATTAAAAACTTTAAGAGGGGGCCCGGCTGGGGCCTGTGTTTGACCAAGCCCTCCGGGTGACTCTGGGCTCAAGTTTGAGAAGCACAGGTGTGAGTTGTTCCCTTCTAGAACAGGGAGAGGAAGGAGCGAGTGGGAGAACAGGAGAAGCTGGGGAAGTGCCCCAGCAGAATTGGGCCTCATGGCAGCAAAGTTGGTTTGCGTTGTGAACCTCCATAGGACACAGTGGGGGTGTTCTTTATTTCTTTCCTCTTCTAGTCTTCATGTACCAACTCTCTCAAGAAAGGATTTGAAGTGCTCTCAGGATCTCCCCCAATCCCCATTCCCACCACACCCCACTACCAGCCTGTTTAGTGTCCCTTCTTTTGGGGCAGTAGCAGAGAGTAGGGAAAGGAGGATGGCACTTATACATTCCCTTGTGTCACAATGAAGAGTATTTTTATTCAAAAAAGCGTTGACATCAAGAACCCTGTCTTAGTATTTCAAAACCCAACAGGCCCCATTGCTAGTGAATGTGTGTGAAGCACCTAGAACAGTGCCTGGTTCTTAGTGCGTGTTCACCGTGCGTAGGAGGTAACGGTGTTGGTGGCAATTATTGCAAGGGCCAGATTTCTCCTGAGAGGGTGCCTGGTTGGCATCTAGAAGTAGTTGCTATTTGCGCCTAGTGGGTGGTTGCTATGTTAAAAGGCTGCCAGCTGGAGATAGGTTTTGATCTTGAAACTCTTCACAGGCGGGCAAGACTCCCTGAAGACAATGCCCTAACTGTGCCCTAACTGTGAGGATGGTCATCAGCTGAGCTGCTGCTGGCCTGTTGGCACTTGCCACAGAGACAAGGATCCAGACTGGAATCAGCATTTGGTGCAACAAGTGTGGGCGTAGGGGCTGAAGAACATCAAGCCAAGCAAAGAGGCATGTCAGGGCCTTTCTGGTAATAGTTTAGTGTCGGGGAGCCCAAAATACAAGGGGGTGGGGAGTGGCCACATGATGGAAGACAGCAGATTAAATGCTGGCCACCAGTGTGGGAACCTCTGAGCAAGCTTGAGAGTGCAGGCCAGAAAGGCAGTGGGTCCCCAAGACCCACAGGCAGATCAGATCACTGCTATAGGAAGCCAATGACCAGAGCTGGATTTGGAAGGCTCAAGTTAGGGTTCCCATCCTTTTCTTTGATTTTGTTCATAGAAATGTTGTTGTACATCCTGGTGTAGCTGGCAGAGCACCGTTTGTCAATATTGGGAAGATAGGGGGAGGCGGGGCAGGCGGAGGGAAGAGGAGCAAAGAGAGGAAAAGGAGAGGAGGAGGCAGTGAAGGAGGAGGGGGAAAAGGGAAGGAGAAGACAGAAGAGAAGAGGAGGCAGGAGGGGGTGAGAACGGGGAGGAGGGGATGGAGGAGAAGAAAATAGTGATGGCAGGTCCTGGTGTGTTCACTGCTTTCCAATCCCTGTCCTACATGTTTTGCATATACTTTCTCATTTAGTTAACAGAACTATGAGATTTGGTCATGGAAGAGTCTAGAGGAGAAGAGTCTTGTTCCTAATAAGGAAATTAACTTACAATGAACTTTTTCTACCTAGGCCCCAAGATCTGAGGTAACCAAAGCAATTCAATCAACTATAATGATGCGTGTTAAATGCAGATTGAATCATTAGGTATGAGGGGAGCTGTGGAAGGCGAAGGTTGAGTCCATCAAGGTATCTGACTCCAATCTTGGGTGTTTCACCTACTCTTGCTGCTCCTCCAGATTCTGAAGCCTCTTGGCCTGGGTTCTCAAACTCTTGTGCATATGGGGACCTGGACAATGAATGCAATGTGGGAAGTGGGCCAGCTATAACATAGTAATAGGCAACAGACACTTGGCCTCAATGTCAGGAGGTAATAGGGAGTAGTGGGGATTATGACAAAATGGAACCCTCATACTACCCTCTGAAGAGGCAGCACTACTCAGCTCCAGTTCTTTTGTTGTCATGTGTCATGTGACAGTGGCCTCAGAGTTGCTGGACCTTCTAATTTTTAACAAGAAGGCAGAGATCCCGTGTTCAGGCAACGTTCAATGGGCCAACAAAATGCATCTGCAGGATATATCTGCCCTCAGATTTACTGGACCACAGTATTTTCCTGAGTTGCAAACAGAAGACTGATCCCTTCCCTGTATTTCTTTCTCTTTCCAGGCCATTACATTTACGTGGACACCTCCTTTGCCAAGCAAGGGGAGAAAGCTGTGCTGCTAAGTTCTGACTTACAGGCTGAGGAATGGAGCTGCCTGCGTTTGGTCTACCAGATAACCACATCTTCAGGGTCTCCCTCAGATCCCAGCCTGCTGAACCTCTATGTGAGATTTGAAGATGAAAGCTTTGATCGCTTGCTTTGGTCAGCTAAGGAACCTTCAGACAGCTGGCTCATAGCCAGCCTGGATTTGCAAAACACTTCCAAAAAATTCAAGGTGGGTGGAATTCAGGAGGAAGGTGCAGGGCTTCTTATGTGACTTTATGCTATTCTGAGATCTTATGAGAACTTCTGCCATTGAATTTAGTTATCTCCTGTGTTAGGATGTGATGTTTTATAGGAGATGCGTCATAGAAGAATATTAGTAATGTAAATTAATATTTCGCTTATACCTAAAAAGAACTTCTTCCCAGATTTCTTTCCTGTCTATTTAAATGGAACTTTGGTAAGAATCTAAATGAGGCTTAAACCAACCTCTCGAATGGAAATTTATTTTCTAATGGGCTCGAGGGAGCATTTTCATTTCTTATAACTTTGTTTCATCCTTCTAAGTTGTGTGTGGTATGTGTTTATGTTATCTTCCTAATGGTTAGTTTGCTCAAGTTTTGAACAAAAGTAACTATAATAAAAGGAGAAATGAAAATACTTTGAAAGGGGAAAGGGACCTAAAGGTCATGTTCTAATTCCTGTTCAAGGATGGAAGTTGTTCCATCAGCAGTATCGGAAAAGGAAAGTGGAGAATGTAAGATAAAGTTGGATGTGGACTGGCGTAGGGAAAGAGGATGGAATTTGGACTCACTTGGCCAAGAAGTGTGATGTTTACTGAGAATATGTCATGCAGGACCCAATGGAGCCTTCAGGAAAACTTTCTCTTTTCCTAATCCCCATTCAATTTCCTATCCCATCCCTTTCCTTCTTCAGAAAGTTTTGAAATACGGTACTCTCTTATAACCCCTGTCTGCTGGTCGTCCCTCCCCATCAGGCAGTGGGGCGGTTGAGGGAAGGAGCGTTGAGGGTCTGAGGTCCCTATTTCACAATGTCCTCCCAGTGATATCTCACACCCTAAATCTACCAGCATCGTTGCAAAATATTGGGCTAAAGTCAAATAAGGAAAAGCAAATACTTTCAGAAACAGGACCAAACGTGAACCATAACGGTGCTTGAAATCAGCTGCATAAATTGTCGTGCTTTTCTCTGTTCTTTATTTAAAATGTCCGAAGTTTTCAGCAATATAGAAACCACGAGATGATTTGTGAGCCTCTTCCATCTCTGTGGAGATCTCCCACCGCTAGTCAGATTTTGCTTCCTACCTCCTCCCCCAAGGGGTTTTTTTCCCCCTGAGACTTTTGCCCTCAGTTCCTGACCATTCTCAGAGTGAGTTTCCCCAGAGACACAAGCTCTCCTCTCCGTCTACAGCCGATTGGTGCTACCACAAGCACTGGCGAAGGTGGTGGTTGGGATAACGATCAAAGACAGCTGACTCCAAGCTTTTGTTGGACTTCTTGCTCACCTCAAGGTTCTGAGCGTATATGTATATGTTTGTATACACACACACGAGTGCACGTGTTCCTGTGCAAACACGCTAACACACACACATTTTTTAAACAAAGTCCATCCAATAGCAGTTAGCTGAGACAATCTTGTTTTGCCATGAATTACTGAACAGCTCCTGACAAGTAACTGAAATACTGAACCAAGGAAGCATGGTGTTTTCAGGTCTAACTCCCTTCTCCCCCATGTGTTGTGCAGATTTTAATAGAAGGTGTGCTAGGACAGGGAGACACCGCCAGCATTGCCCTCTTTGAAATCAAGATGACAACCGGCTACTGTATTGGTAAGTGGGTTTCATTTTCATCACATCAGAATGGGAATCTTTTTCTAAAATCTATTGTTGTCAGAGGGAATCGGATCAACCCTAAAGCCAGAGTATTTTATAGATGCCACTGCATACTGCATAGTAGTTCCAATTCTTTGCTAGGTTCCCTTGAATATAGTATGTTGTTTCTCTGTCTTTAGCATGGCAAGGCTCCTTAGAGTTTGCCTGTGTGACTGGATTAATGAAAGAAAAGTAGATGCAGCAACTGGAACCTGAGTTGTCACCCTAACCTCAACGTATTCTAATAAAATAATTTCTAGTTCGCTGCGAATTCAGCTTTCTGTAGCATTTGCTAAAAAAGCAGGCATCATCTTACGCCTTTTCCTCTCTTTACTCCATTGCTCTCTTGCACAATATTGCCCCTGTCTTTGTGATCAGTTGTCACTTCGATTCTGCTTGAGCAGGGTTAGCTGGGCGCCTCTCATGTGCCAGCTTCTGGGATGGCGTAAGAAGACAGTCGACGTCTAGCTGTTGCTCCACTTCCTCCTGTCTGCCACTGAAGCTCTTTCTGTAGGGGTCTGATGAATCCTGCCGAGAAGGGCAAGCCGTGCTCTGGAGTTGAAGAGACAAGGAGAGGAAATGGGAGAGGACTGAATTCAGGAGAGGCAACTGAGCTGGAGTTTCAGTAGAATTCAGTCAAGTGCAGGCACAGGGTAGGAAAACCCCAGGGGGGAGAAAGCACAGAGCCTGCTCAGGCGAAGGCAAGCGGCTGAGGGGACTGTTTGAAGAGAGAATCAGGGCTGCTGTGGGAGTCTGTTACGGAGGAGTCGGGATCCAGGCTATGGAGCTTGGATTAAAGAATTATGGGTTTGGGAGGCCCTAAAAGTCAAGGCAGCGGGGGAGGGGCTTGCAGTTGCGTTTTCAGCTGACGGGTCTGGCTGCCACGTGGAAAATCAGTTGGAAACATGGAAAATATGTAAGAGGTTGGAAAACCCCAAGGGAACAATTGTGACCTTACAGAGGGGACACATGAGGGTCTAAGATTGGAGCTGACAGTGGAATGGGAAAAAGCCAGTCTATCTGAGAGATGTGTCAGCACTGACGATACATGCAGGCTGAATGGCTGTGGAAAGGAAGAGAAAGGAGAGTCAAAGACGATTCTTAACAACAACAAAAAAGCCTTTGCTAATTCCCTGAGTCTCCCTTCTTCGTTTTGACCTTGCAATGACGTCCTTAATGCAAATGAAAGAAAGCAGCCTGGGACTGTGACCATTTTCTGAAGATACAGTGAGTTGCTCCAAGCTTCCCTCCTTCAGCCTCCCTGTAGCTCCCACATGGCGGCTGCATGATCTTGGACAACTCACAGGCTTGAGTCAGACACAGCTGGTGGAGCGCCACCTGCTGGCCCAGTCACCTCACTGAGCCCCCCAGCCTCTCCTTTCACTACCCGTAAAATGGGATAAAATACTTCCCTCACAGGATTACCGTGGGGACTAATGAGATCACGGATGTGAAGGTGATTGCTACAGTCCTTGGCACTCAAAAAATGTTAATTTCCTTTCTTCAGATCGCTTGGTGGCTTCTGGTTTGTTTAAAAAACAAAAGGAGTGCCAATACTTTTACTTTGTTAAACTGTATGATGATGTTCTCATCTCTTCTTTCTTTCTCTGCATTCTCTCTGCTTCTCTCAGTTCCTCATCAGTAGCATGAGGTTAATAATAGCACCTCCTCTGTGAGTTGTTTTGAGGATTAAGTTAATTCATGTAAAGTGCTTGGAATAGTGTCTGGTACATTGAGGAATATTTTGCCTTTTATTTTACTCCATGCAGCCTTTGGCACTGAATGTTGGGCATTGCTTAGCAGATGCTGCAGGGGAAAAGTTGCAAATGAAAATCTTAAAAAATTTTCCATGCTTGCCAATGTAAAAACACATTGATAACTATATCAGTCAGGGTGCTGGCAGGAAAGTGGAGACAGAGGGTACATTCAACTTGAGTAATTTGAGGAGAGCTCATTAAAGGAACTACAAAGATGTGGGTAGATAAAGGAAACCAGCAAGAGATGGTGTGGTAATCCAGGCTAGTCACAGTGATGACTCATGAGCCATCACCATCTTTAGGTCTCATGGGCAAGGGAGGAGGGGTTACCAGAACCTGGAGGCAATAGCTGTATGGTGGGGGCTTGTTGACAGGAGCTGCACCCTCAATAGAGAGATACAGCCAGCTCATGGCAACCTGGCAGGGTGGGAGCTGGACGAATGAACACCCCCAACCTCATTCTCTTCCTGCTTCCATTGGTCAAATGCAATAGGAAGCCAGAAGCCAGGGGAATCCTGACACAGTCCATACAGGTCAACCTCCATGTTTTTAATTGCATGATTATGGGGATCAATGGAGCCACTGGCTTGTGAGTTTCTTGTTCCCACCAAAGGAGTCTGTTGACCGGGAACAATTTATCAGTGCAAACATGTCAATGCTACTAAAAGGGGGAAAAGGGAGTCCCTTTATCTTCTCTCTCTTCTCCACTCAGTAGCTGCAGAAAGACCCAGAGCCCTGGATACACATGCCCTGCCTATTCTGACTGGGTTTTTGTTTACAAGAAAAGCAGAGGATTTTAGCATCTAGGGAACATGCCCCTTAGCTCTGGGTATCTTGTCCGTCATCAGGAGAGAAGGGGATGGAGGAATGGGCTACCAGAAGGGTGGTGGATAAAATTTCTGGAGCTAAGAGCATAGCCCTGAATAGTACTTTGAAACAGAGATGGCTGATATACCAAGCACTAACCCTGTCCCTGGCACTATGCAGGAGCTGTCCACACTTACAACAGCCCCATGAGATGGGAGCGTTCCCCCCATTTCACATATGAAGAAATAGAGGCTAAGAGAGGTTATGCAGCAAGCCACGTGGCCAGTTAAGTGGAAGGGCCAAAATCCAAAGAAGCAATGAGGACTTATGATCTCTATGCATTACTGGATCTCTCTTCCTGATCAATATTGTCTAGGGGTCCTGGTACAAAGGTTCCAGTGGTCAAAGGGAGTGAGAAACATATAGCATAACCTATCTAAGAGCAGACCCTCAGTGAGTCTGGGTGTACCCAGGTGTAACCACGTCTCCATGAAGTGTTTTTATTTCTTCTCTGCCAGAATGTGACTTTGAAGAAAATCATCTCTGTGGCTTTGTGAACCGCTGGAACCCCAACGTGAACTGGTTTGTCGGAGGAGGAAGTGTTCGGAATTCCCACTCCCTTCTTCCGCAGGATCACACCTTCAAGAGTGAACTGGGTGAGCTGAGGACAAATGGAGTCCTTTTCCCAAGAGAACTGCTTCTGCCATCTCCTTCCGCCCCCTACACTGGCCTAACTGTGGCTCTGTCAACAGAGATGGAGGAGAAGGGAGGGTGAGTAGGGACAGGGAGCCTGGTGGAAGAGCAGGGAAGAGTAAGCCATGAGATAGAGACAGGCTACAGACCTGAGCCTAGAACTAAGGAGAAGGCCACCCAGTTAAACGCTTTTCTTTACCTGTGACCTGGTCTTGGTATTTTATCGTTTCCATTTTATGTTTTACTTTCTTATCTATTTGTTGTTCAATATTTCTCATTTCTAAAGACAAGGCTGGAATAATCCTAGGTTGCTTTTCTCTAAAATAGATAGAATGGCAGGAACAAGTCCTTAACTTCCCAAGTGGCAATGAGGTGAGCGAGCGGTCCCAATGATTAATCCTGAATGCGGTGTGCAACAGGGCCCCCTAGTGGCCATGTGGGCTGGTTCTCTGCAGGGAAAATGGGTAAGAGAGGTGATCAGTGAGCAGTCAGCTTTGAGGAGAAAGCTTCCATGGAAAGGAGACAAGGACAAAGTAGAACAAGAGAACAAAAGAATGCCCCAGAAACCATTTCTTTAGGTACATCTGGGATCACCTACACAAGGAATTGAGATTAGAAAAAGACAAGACATTTTCACTTCCTTCTTTTAAAAGGAAAGAAGGTTTAGCAATTTTGAAAATGACCAAAGATTGAGGTTTCCACATGTATATCCATATTTTGGCCCTCAAGACACACAGCTTGTCTCCACTTGTGGCCACTGTAGGGGCCACACTATAAATGAGTGTTATGTATAGAGTAAATGATAACCAATCATGACAGATTAATCCATGAATCTACATGAGCATTTTTAAAAGACAATTGGATTAACGCAAAATAATAGAATGTCACTACCTCTTGAGATCTTTGATTAAATGAATAAAGCAACTAACAATCTCTTGGGGTTTCAAGAAAATAAAAGCAAGGTGACTTAATTTATGGAAGTAGGCTAATTTTGAGATTGTTTTTCTGCCATGTCTTAAGAATCTAGTTCAAGGAGTAGAGAGAATCTTGAAAGACGAATGCATTAAAATTGTAATAATCCTTGGTGTCATTATCACAGAGGTATAAGCTTAAGTATGGGAAAGTATTAGAGAACTTTTCCAAAATCACTTAAAAGTTAGTTCCCAAGTCAGATCCTCTGGGTAACCAACGTCATGATCTGATGATCGCTTGTTCAGTACATCATTTTTATCCTCACTGATGGTGAGGACCAGCTGGCTGGGGAGAACATGGATGTCTTGGAAGAGGCAACAGATCTGTGGACTGTTGTGAAATCATTCATTTGACTGTGTTGCCTGAGTGCATTCCGTCCTTTGAAGAGTGTATCACGCTAGTCCTCCCTCACTCTCATTTGTGACCATAGACCATTCTGACCGTATTTGTGTCAACAAGAGATAGAGAAAGAGGACCAGGCTAGGAGTCAGAATGCTGTGCTCCAGACCCAGTTATCAGAGCACTGTATTACTCTGGGCAATCCCTTAACTTCTCAGGGTCTCCATTGGCCTGTTTGCAAGTGAGGAATTTGAATTTCATGATCTCTAAGATGCCTTTGAGTTCTAATATTTTACTCTTCTCTCTTTACCTAATGCTGTACATCAAATTCTCCAAATTCACCACCCATCGAGATCTATTTCCAAAATGTTTAGGGTCCCTCCTGATTATAAGCACCTTGCGTTTGGCATTAGAAAAAAAAGAAAAAGGGAGGACTAAGGGGTGAGAAAAAGAGGACCTGGGTTTTCTCCTCTTTTCACCAGAAGGGTCAAGAGAGAGGCGTGATGGTGCCATCACCTCTGAGGAGCACTAAGACTTGACAGTAGAGTGCTGTCACCCCAGCCACAGGTGCTTGCTTCTCTTTTCTCCCACTCGCTCTCCCCATCCCTTCGCCCCCTCTCCATTTTCCTATCCTTTCTCTTCTTCCTTGGGTATTCTAAAACACCTCCCAAAGGCACATAGCTTTGCCCACTGCCATTGCTTAGTCCCCTGATGTCAATACGGAATCCTAAAGAAGCAGCTGACACTGGGACTGAAGGGAAGAAATCTAGGGAGACCTTTGACCTCCCTTCCAGCAAGTCACAGGTTTATATAGTCAATCTAGGCAGAGCCCAAACACCAGAATGAGACTTCTTCATTGATCACTCACTTATTCATTCAACAAACATAAAATAACCACTTTGTCCAAGTCAGGCATTCTTGCATACCCTGGTGATCCAGTAGCAGTCACTGACCTCAAAAAATCATAGGAACCAAGTTTTCAGAAATGCTGTTCCCTTGAATACCAGTTCTTGAGTATAATAATCTCTATATGAAGACAGAAGGGCTATAGGTGATCAGATGTACTGGGGAAAACCTGAGTTAAGAAAGCTAAACAGATTTCTTTATTTCAGGACTTCTCAATGCCTTTAATATAGTTCTATGTTGATGTATATTATGGCATTTCTCAAATTATCCAAATATGAAAATGCTATGTAAACATGCACAGTGATGCATGGCTAATAGAGGCATGAAATAAATATATTATACAGGACCACTGAAAAGTGAGAGACTACCTTGGTTTTGGGATGCAGGGAAGGCTTCCTAGAGGAAGTAATATCAGAACTGGAATATGGCCAGATGGGAAAGGAGAAGATAAGTACAGCATCTGCAAAGGTGGGTAGGCATGGGAGTGGTTGGTTGTCTCTATGGTGGAGAGCATCTGAGAATGCTGGTGCGTCTGATGGTGGCAGAGCAGCCCCTCCATCCCAGGTTATGTTCCTGTTTATGATGGGCGGGGAGCCTGGATGCCTGCATTCCTCTCGGTTCATCCAATTCTTCTCAGCTAGTTCACCCCAACTTCTCTTCAACTTTTCGACTGATGGTTTGCCCAGTCATTAGCCAAACAGCCCTCTCATCTCCACCCAATGCACAGACACATGTGCACACACACATGCACACTCATTCACACTTCTCACGCCTGGACTCCCACGTAGGACTTCCTTCTATATAGGATGGGGCTAAAAGAAGATAAGTTCTAAAGATTCCAAAATATTTTATTTGAGAAGTTCTCTGCCCATGTGATTCAAAGATTTGACCAGGAGATCACTCTTGAGAAAAACCCTCCAATCTTCTAAATAGGAGAAGTTGCCTTGCTTATTACATTCACCTCTATCCGGTGTATTGATTTTCCCTGAGCTCTGTCAATTTGGGTGGCAAGTAAAGATTAAATGTTCAGATGTCTGCCCGCAGCAGCAGATTTTGCTCCCCATAAACTCATCTCATGTTCATTCATATCCTGGAAGGAGCTCATTACTTTGCTTTCAGGTGAAAACTGGAGACGCGAACAGCAGGGGTGGGGGAAGCTATGTGCCTGTTCAGAAACCACAGAGCTGCAGAGAGGCTGAGGGAAGCCTTCCCAGGAGGGCTATGGCCCTTGTGTTGTAGAAAAGAGAACAGTGAAAATGATATCTGAAAAGTAGGATGTGGGTATGTGTTTTCCTTCCACACAAATTTGTGTGTTTTTAACAGTTAGCCCAAACAGTGAGTCGGAGTTTTCGAATGTGTACTATGTCTCCAAATTATTTTTCTAATTGAAGTATAGTGACATACAATATCATACTAGTTTCAGGTGTACAGCATAGTGATTCGATATTTATATGCATTATGAAATGATCACCATGATAAGTCTAGTTACACGTCACCATGCAGTTATTACAATATCATTGACTATATTCCCCATGCTGTACATTACATTCCCGTGACCTATTTATTTTATAACTGGAAGTTTGTACCTCTTAATCCCCTCCACCTGTTTTGCCCACCCCCTACCCTCTGGCAACCACGAGTTTCTTTTCTGTATCTATGAGTCCATTTCTGTTTTGTTTTATTTGTATCCAAATTCTTGTCAGATGATGCAAATGGCTAAAATAACGCAGTGAGAATTGTGGTGGGACATCTTTGGAATCCTGGCGGGGATGGGGTATTATCTTGCTTTTTCATGTTCTATTCTGATTCATCACATATGGATTTTTTTTCTTTGTTCATATTTTACAAAGTGAAATAAAATCTTTCAGGAGGTAACCTACTGACAGCTCAGATCATTACCGTTTCCTACCTGCCTTAGCAAAAAGAAGATAATTGCCAGAAAAATAATGAGGGAAATATATTTCTTTGCTGAGATTTTTTTAAATTAAATCTGCTTATGCTGCCACTCTAGAAGGAGCTGAACAAGGCTTTCAAGCCTCAAATAAGGTCAGAATTATTTTATTCCATCAAAGACCATGAGATCGATGGATCATCTTTCCATAACTCATGGCGCTCTCTTCTCATTTCGGCTCAGATTGGGCTCAAGCGTCATCTTAATGGCACCTGTTCATTCGCTCTCTGCGTTGATCCATTTGGCTCATTGCAGAGCCCTCAGCAGGGAAGCAGCTTTTATCTCTCACCATTGCCTTTGTGCAAACTCTGCTGAATCTGCTTTCTCTGCCCTTTCCAGTCACTTTCAGGTATTAACTAACAGCCTCCTTTTCAAGGATTAAGTTCAGTCAACTCAAAACCTCCACATCTCATCCCATTCAAATCTTCCCCCAGCCCGGAGCACAGAGTGGTAGTAAAGAGAAGGGTTTGTGCTTTGTTCTCTATCCTTCTACCCCTGGCTCTTCCCTTCCTCTTCCTTTGCTTACTTTGCTGCTTCTGCTCCTCCAGGTTGGGGGAGGCATGATGGGAACAGAAAGGGAGGGGAAGGGGACAAAGGGTTTCATGTGAACAGTGCTGGAGTTGATGCCCTTCGTACTGCAGGTGGCCAGCTGCTGGCCATTTCTCACACAGCCCAGGGGAAACCCACCTCACTCTCTGGGCGGCCGTCTGTGAAGCCCCTTTAGCACCTGTCAGTAATGGGACAGCCCGCCATCTCCTTTCCGTTGGAGCTAGCACCCTGCATGCAGTCCTCTTG